GGGGTGGGAGGTGGTCGAGCTGGTGGAGGGGAATTTCAAGGAGGACTTAGTGGGGATTGGTTATTGCTGGCACATCTCCTACTGTGTTAATGAGCTTGTTGTTGCCAGGGAACTTGCTGATCAGGATTTCGGAAGAGATTTCGGAAGAGGACAGCTTCACATATTCTCTTGAAAGGTACCTTAGCAAAGGCGGCAAAAACATCCACCTCACCCTCTCGCGCGTCTGGCCCACGACCTTTCCCAATCTTGACACAAGCCGTCCGGCTTCACCACGAACAACCACACACAAACGGGACCCAGCAAACCGCCAGACTTCAACAGCTCTCTCCCCTCTCTCGGACCCGCCTGCCTGGCCTGCCTCCTCAACCCAGCCCGACGCAAACGACCCCCAGCTCGGCGGACCCCCAAGAAGCTGGCGTCTCAGACCTCGACATGTAAGCTTCCTCCAGACCCTTCCGTCTTCAGGGTTATCCGGCGTGGACCTCGACATCGGGGCCTTGGTCGTCTTCCTGCGCAGGTGCTTGTTTCTCCGCCAGAGTCCATTAGAGAGCAACAGCACCAAAAGCTCTGATTTCAAGGTCGCCGTCCAAGGACAGAAATGCCAGACAACGGCAACCCCAATGGGGCAGCAAGGCATACCAAAGACGAACAGTCATCAGTATCACCGTCGATAACGAGGACACTCGCGTTCCACACATCCTACGTCCCCGTCCCCATCTAATGGGTAGAATAACCGCCCACCGTAACGAGGGTACACTCCCTTCTCCTCCGGCGCCTCCAATCAAGCACATCTCAACACATGTATTACCCTCACACCTCTAGGATAGGACATCGATATCAAGTTGACCGTCCAACCCGCGTAACCTGAGCATCCTCGCCCCCTCGGTCGCCCGCTGGCGCGCGTGGGAGGATGTAAGGAAGAAGTACCGCAAAAGTTTCGACCTTTACAGGGTCTCAGGCTCGCCGTTTAAGGGCGCTACGGGTGTATTGCACAGCTGCCATACTCGGCCGAGGGGTGACGGGACGATGTCATCCTGCCTGTCTTGGTTACAGGGCTGAGAAGCAAGACGGAGAGACTGTACGAGCAGGTTGCGGAAAAGTGTCTGATGCACAACGGCAACACGACTTGTCAGGGGACAGCTCATGAAGTGAGTCATTACGATTTTGAAGGGCCTGTCAACTTGAAAGGCATTGTCACACCTAGAACATCACAACATGGCATAAGGGGCAAACGTGAGGTAATGACCTCGCCTGTCATGCATTCTCTGATAAAGCGACTTGCGGTGAAGAGCGTCGAAGGAAGGTAATCCACAAGCAAAGGTCGTGATGTCGATACGCCTCTCCCCTTTCCCGAAGCAAGTAAGAAAAAGAGTAAAAATATAAAGACACTGCCGGCGGACTGTTTGGTATTACCAAACGTCGCACGCGGCTTTCTCAATCCCCCCAAATTCCTGTTTTCCCTAATTGCCCCTTCCATCGCGCAAGATTCATATCAGGTCATGATACTCTCCAGGGGGAGATGAGTGAAGTTTTCGGGCGTTTTGTTTTTCTCTGTGAGAGCCAGAACCAAAGCGACGACAATAAAAGTATGTGACGATTGTTGCGCATTGCACGTGAGAAAGATGCCCCGACCAGAACATTGCGAAAAGCTTTGGCGTTGGCGGGTCATGTTTTACAACGACTCCACCGTTTCCTCTAAGCGCAAGTCTGGGCCTGGAGCGAGTTGGGTCGCACTCCGTCGGCGAATCGGACACCGGATCGGGATGCGTGTCCGCTGGATATGGTCGGCTTGCCCTTTCGTAGGATCGTCTTCTTCGAGTCAGGGGGAGACGAAGAAAACGTCGGTTTCGTGGGTGAAATCGAAGACGGGCCTGCAGACGAGGAGGATGTCTGGAGGCGTTCCGCAGACCCGTCGGATTGTCATTCGATACCGTGCTGCTGCTTGAGCTGCGCTAAACTAGCGCGGCGGGCCTCGAGGTCCTCTTTTGACTTGAGCATCTTCTCTGGCTGGTGGTACAGAACTGCGATGTGTTAGCAAGGACGGACGACGTGACGGTGGGGAGTCGGCGACGCGACGTACCGATGAGGTATCGGTTCTGGAAGTTGAAGCCGTTGAGCTTGTCGCAGGCTTGCTTCGCATCCATTACGTCTTCATAGACAACGAAGGCGGTGCCCTTGGTGCCGCTGGCAATGCCCTGGCGCACCTGTCTGTTGAATAGTTAGTTATGCGTGTCGTGATCGATATCGAAGCAAGGTGCGTACCGGATCGGGCCAAATTTTCCGAACAGGTCGAACAACTCCTCTGGAGTTACGTTGTAGCTGTCGTCGCGTTAGTCATCGTGATTGTCGTCATGGTCGATGTCGATGTCGATGTCGGGTCGACGATCGTCGTGTAGAGGCTTACCTCAAGTTCTTCACGAACAGAGCTCTGCAGGAACAGTCAGCCATGTCTGTCATAACGCAACACAATGAAGGTAACATCGATTGGGACCCGGGGTAGGAGTCAAGATCAAAGGCCGGACGGCATGGGCCGTGGGGTGACCTCGCCCGGCTCCGGGTCTCGTGCCAGGGAAGAAGGGCGTGTTGGCTGACGGTACCGGGCAGGGCGAATTGAAGGAGAATTCGGACTCACCGGTTGACTTCTGGGGCTAATTTACCGCCGCGACTACTCATCTCTCGATGCTCGGTGACGCTGGGAATTCGGATCGGGTTGGTGAACGCTCGGAAAAACGACAAGGACGCGCTGGTTGATGGGGGAAGGGCGGGAAGATTGAGATAGGATCTGGAAGTTCTAGGAATGGAAAACGGGGAGCAGGCAGAGTAAATGAGGCGACGGACCGGCGGCAGTGCAAGGATTGGGTGAAAGCGCCCACGTGACACGATACGCCCCACCCACCGTCACGCGGTGGACCACTCATCATGCGTCCCGTCATCAAAAGGCAGTTGCGATCGGTACGTACCGACCGCACCTGCCCAAGCAATTGAACTCTGTTGACTGCAGCGCCTGCCTCTGCAATGCATCAAGGTCCAGGTTGTCGTCGATACGTACCCGCTTCGGCTTTCCGTAGACGTGTCACCGAACGCCCTATCTCCGTCGTACTTCCAATTACTGCCATTGAGGGAGGCGCACTACATGCCCAACTGTCACTGACTGGCTACAATTGCGCAGCTCCCTATGCAACAGGTCTCCGCTCACTAATGAGAACGATGCTCGTAATGGATGCGTTGGGCTGGGATAGAACCACATCGCTCGCTCCTGCAAGCTGGCCGACATGTCACTGCCGTCCGTCCAGGAGAGTTCACTGCAAGTAGCATCCGGCGTAGCAGGCGGATGCACTGAACTGAAGCCGGGCGTTGCACGGTTGCTGCAGCTGCAAGTCCAGCGGGAATGTTTCCGGGCCTCGACTAGACCTGCCATGTCTGCGGCCTCAACATGAGGTGTCCAATGGAAGTCAGGGTACCCAGGTGTGAGTACTGCAGAGTACAGGCTGGAAACGTGAGCAGCCTGAGACCGCTGGGACGAAAACACTGGCCTGCCTGCTATGTACCTACACAGCGGAGATAGAGTTACGAAAGCCTGAGCACGCCATGTTTCTTGCTGCAATCATTGCAACGACACGGTGGGACACGCTCGAGCAGCCGATTCCCATGCACTGGTTCCTCAGGTTCGCGTTGCGTCCGCTCACTCCTCAGTGTCCTTATCCAGTCCCAGTCCCAGTCCCAGTCCCAGTCTCAGTCAATGGAAGGTTGGTGAAGAGTGGACCTGGACGAGTCACACGATCGGGCTCAAGATTGCGTAACTTGATCAATGCGATAGGAGCCTGCCAGCCGGGCCGCTGTATCTGGCCTCTTATCCCTTCCCTATCAGTAGTATCGCATAATCCGGGGTACGCAGGCTCTGGAAAGCCACCCTGGACGCTGCCGTTGGGTTCGAGAAGGTGACTTGGAACTTGTTGCTGTTGGACACTGATTGACTGATGGGATGAGCTAAGGCAAGGTACCTCGCCGTTCGTTACCTTGCCTTGCCTGCTGCAGCGGCTTGGCTTGGCTGTCCTGGGCTGGCTGTGGACACTGACGGAGATAGATAATGATAAGCATCTCCAATAAGTTGGGCCAACGTGGTTCATCGCTACACGCCGTAACGCTGGCATGGCAGGCCAGGCTCTCCCTCATATTTGTACCTGAGTTGCATGTCTGTACCCCCCCAACTGAGATACTGATCAACAAACAAGACCGCAACCCCAAGCCACCACGACGATGGCTACCCGGGCCGCCGTTTTTTGTCACCCGTTGTTATTTACCTACATGTTTCACCTCAGCCCTGTGCCAACGGAAGAGTTGCTCTTTTTTCACTGAATGGGTGCTCAAAGAATAGCACCAACCCCTAAGCGGTGTGGCTGTCTTGATGACGCTGCTGCCGAAGGGGACACCGCAAAGAGAAAAAAAAAAGGGTCCCTGGCAGACCAGACCCAGGGGACGGGTTCACTCCGGATGAGGCTAAACAACCACCCAACCGCAGCAGGTCTCTGGGACGAAGGTGCTGCGGAATAGCAACGTCTCCTCCTGAAAACAGACCTCACCAGCACCGTCCACAGTCCCCAAAACGCGGCATTCTCTTATTTGTAGCTGCCACTGCGCATTTCAGGTTTCTTCCCCTGCATTGAAATTTCTTTGACACCGCAATGGACTGCCATTGACCGCCCACAGCGGACAATGGCCTTCCTCAACGGCCCTGGTCCACCCCCAAAGTAATCCAATTGCAAAAAGGCCAACCACGACCTACCTCTCTCCTTTGACGTCGGAGCCAAGGAGCTTCAACCTCTGCTCTTCAGGTGCCTTCTCACTGCACCTCAAACCCGTCTTCGGAACATCTCACTTCCTTCCAAAATATCTCTCCCGACTTCAAATTTTTCATCCTCCTCAATTCTTCCATCACACACACTCGCACTCCTACTACACCACCAAACCCACACCATCGCCTTAGACGACATACACCAGCAATGGCGCCTGCACTAGCACCCGACCACTTCGTCGGTTTTGACGTATCCGACGACGACAAGCCCTTCCTCCTCAACGTTCTGGCCCATCCCGGCACTCCCTGGGAGGAAAAGGCGGTCGTTTCTGACATTTGCCTCTTCAGCGGCTTCGAAGACTGGTACCTGAAGCTGGAGTGTGCGGCCTCAATCAGAGACAACCGCCCGCCTCCTGCCTCCGAGCTCGATGCCCGAGATGTTCTGGCCTTCGTCCCGCGTCCGACCAAGGCCGCACTAGCTAACGAGGAGCTGCGTAAGGGCTGGGCCGCTACCGACCAGTCCATCAAGAACCTGTCGGCCATGCTTCGGGCCCATCGGTCAGGCCTCACTGCATCGCCCCAGCCCGTCGAGAAGGACCAGCGAGTTATCAAGCGAGAGGGTGGTCTGAAGCGGGAGCGTGACGATGACGCAACTGAGGCCCCCCGGCGAGTCAAGCGACAGAGAACCGCGCCCAAGGCCACCTCTCACTACTTTGCGCCTCCGGGTCATGAGCAAGCACAGCAGCAATCGGCATCCACATCCCCGGCCGGTAGTGAACAACCCGATCCCTCGGCAATCATCCGTCACGGCATCGCTACACCGCGCAACAGCCCCCGCAAGTCCAACAACCCTGAGTCTGCAAATGCAAGCGCCTCTGGTCCGTCGGAGTCCAGCAGCAGTATTCAGACAGCAGCCAGCCAGGCAAATGGAGGCAATGACGACATCGCCGGCGATTTAAAAGGCAATGGCCCGCAGACAGCCAGGGATCTTCGGGCAGAGAAGCCATCCTGGCCCACCCGACTGTCTCCGTCCCCATCGCCGTCCCCGACGACCTCATCCGGCCCCTTGTCCCCCCTGGATTTGAGCCATGTCAAATCGGAGGAGTAGGCGGGCCTTCGCCCAAACGGAAGACTGCTGTCATGTCGCCCTTTTTTACACAATCCCCAGCGAAGCAATCGCCCAAGCAGTCTCCGAAAAAGCGAAATGGCCTTGTCTCAACTATTCCCTTTCCGCCGCTCTCAGCTCCGCGATTTGGTCTTATTCAGGAAGAAATGGCCCATGAGCCCTTTTGGCTATTGGTCGTCGTTACTTATCTCGTCAAAACAGCGGGCACGCTGGCTATTCCTACGTTTTACAAGATCAAAGAGAAGTACCCTACGCCTGCCGCCCTGGCTGAGGCAGACCCAACTACCATTATGAATATGACGCACCACCTGGGTCTTTCTGTTGTCAGAACGGCAGCGATTCAGCGATACGCACGATTGTGGTTAGAGAGACCACCTACGGCGGGAGTCCTTCATAGAGTGAAGAACTACGACAAACGAGATAGTCTATTCAATGCCATTATGCAACATACGGAGGACGAGCACGAGGAGGAACACACTACACCAGCCGCTACAGACGACTCTTGGGAAATGGGCCACTTCACCCAAGGCAAATACGCACTTGACAGCTGGCGCATCTTCTGCCGCGACGAACTCCTCGGGCGGGCGCAAGACTGGAATGGCAAGGGCGCGGCACCCAACTTCCAGCCCGAGTGGATGAGAGTACGACCCGACGACAAGGAGCTTCGGGCGTGTCTGCGGTGGATGTGGATGCGAGAGGGGTGGGAATGGGACCCCGTCACCGGCGAGAAGATGGTTCTGCGCGAAGAGATGCGGAATGCCGTCAACGAGAGACGGGTGGAATATGACGAAGTCGGCGGGCTCAAGATCGTCGACGAGCCGCGATCAGAGTGAGCCGGATTGTTTTTGGGAAGTTATGAGGTCCTTTGTTATTGATGAGGCTAGATACGATGATGGTTGATACCCGCACCGGTTGGGTGCACTGCGCCTTGAATACGACGATAGATGAGCTGCTGGTATAACGGCAGACGGCAGTGAAATAGTATACAGTGAACAGTAAAACAATGGCATGACCAACGTTCAGTCAGCTCGCTGAGCTGAGCACGATACTTCGTTAGTGACCACTCACATAACAAGGTTAGGCGAAGGGTGCCAGCTAAGGTTTTGCTTCAACCAACGTCTATGAAGTCTACCCTTCCCATCCCGGCGCCCACAACCTGGTAGTTGCGCCCTCACCGCCAATGGCCTTGTATTAATGCTTCGACATCCTCGTGGTTTAGTGCCACCCTTCTTTTAAACATGTGCGGAAGCTAAAAACTCTCGTCACCCCGGCCGGTTCTGAATGTGTAGCCTCAGCTCACCGTGGCGGGGTTCATTGCATCTGAGGCCAAGTACTTTTATTAAATGCATTACGTTCAAACCGTGTATATGAACATGCTGGAATGATTCTCGTACCTTGGGCGCGATTCTGATGCGTTGTAGTCTCTAAAAGGCAGGTTAGTGTGAACCCCCCGCGCCTGCCTCGGATCTCGCCCAGCGGCGCCCCGCACCGTCCTTGCGCAGGCTTCGGGTTCCCCCGCCCAAGTATGGTGGAAGCGAACCCCTGTCCCCCACTGCTGCTGCTGCTGCTGCCGCGGCGGCGGCGTCCCATCTCCGCCTGCGGCCTTTCGCATTTAGCGCTGCGACCCCACCTCTTACAGCGCAAACAATCCCGCATCAGGGGAGGCCGCAGTTCAGGTACATAATCGCAAGACAATCGTTTCCCGTTCCCGTCTTCCCGTTCCTCCCCTTCTCTGTCCTTTGAAGAAGAAGAAAACCTCTCGCAGCTTTTCTTTCTTTTCTCTCTCATCCTTTGATATACTCAGGACCGGCACAATGGGGTCGCAGATTGACTCGCAAGACGAGTTCACCGTCCTCGTGACCGGCTTCGGCGTACGTTCAGCACACACCCGTCCATCCCCACCGCCCGCCCGTCTTTTTCCCCGAGTCTGCCCCTCACCACCAGATCGTCACTGCCCCGCCATTGCGACGATGAACATCATTGTCACTCCTCCCGGTCCTCCGAGCACACGAGCCAGAAACTCCCTTCAATTACCTCCCGCTCCTTCTGCTACACCACACACACCCAGCTAACATAACCAACCCGCAACAGCCCTTCAAGGTCCAATACCCCGTGAATCCTTCCTGGGAAATCGCCCACTCCCTGCCCGCGTACCTCCCGCCCCTCCGCGCAAAGAACCCCAAAGACCACCCCTCAGAAACGACGACGACAACAACAACATCACGACCCCTTCCGCCCGTCCGCATCCTCGTCCACCCCGAGGCCATCCGCGTAAACTACCAGACCGTCCGCCACCTCGTCCCCCAGCTGTGGGACCCCGCGACGCATCCGCGCATCGACGCCGTTGTGCACATCGGCATGGCCGGCCCGCGCCTCTTCTACTCGGTCGAGCGCCGCGGGCACCGCGACGGCTACGCGTTCCCCGACGTCGACGGCAACCGCCTCGAGGACGAGGAGCGCCGCAAGGAGCAGGGCGAGGGTTGGGTCTGGTACGGCTGTCCGGATGAGATCGAGACCGAGTTCGATTTGGGGGATGTTTTGGGGCGGTGGAAGGCGCATAGTCCGGTATGTTGATTCTCGAAGCCTTTCACACTTCGTGGCCTCCCTTGTAAAGACACATGACGAGCGATGTATTACGGGAAAGATGGTATGTAAGTTGTCCGGCCGCTGACCCTAGACACAGGACCGATCCGACCTCCGCATATCCGAAGACGCGGGCCACTACCTCTGCGACTTCATCTACTTCTCCTCCCTCGCGCACCTCTGGAAGCAGCAGAAGCACCGCCGCGTCGTCTTCCTGCACGTGCCCTCCGACGCGTCCGAGGAGGCCGTCGCGACGGGCACGGAGCTGACGATCCAGCTCATCCGGTCCATCGCCGAAAGCGAGCTGGAGAAGAGGCGGAACAAGGGCGCCGAGAGCGCCGGGGAGGTGGTGGGCGAGAGCGACAAGATTGCCGTCGAGTTGCGGGTCTAATGTGAGATTCTTGTCTTCGGGGTCTTTGGAGGGAGCGGGTTTTCAGTTTCACTCGAAGCATGGTATTTTGGCACAACGGTACATTTATGTGTTTTTGGCTTGACGGCGGAGTGAGGAAGAGAGAGAGGGAAGAAGCATGAGCACGGCAAGGTTTGATTTGGGGTAACATTGCATCCGTTTACTTAGCCTGGAGTTCACCAGTTTCCCGTCTGAGGCGGGGTGTGAGTTGGTAATTGAATTGCATCAGTCTCGAATGAGTTGACGAGAAGCAATGCAACTACCTCACGCGGCACATTTTCTACTAGCCACTCGCCAAATACATGAAGAATAACCAGAAGGCACGCCACTGCCGCATCTGGAATTATCGTAGCCGGGAGTTCTCGTTCGCGCTGCATCCGTCGGACTCGTCGCCTTCTTGAGCCCACATTCTGGCCGCAGGAGACATGAAGCAGGGCGAATGGTTTAGTGGTATAATACTCGCTTAGCATGTGAGTGGTCCAGGGTTCGATTCCCTGTTCGTCCAGTTCTTTTGCTGCTTGACACTATTTTCATGTCTTCTGTCTTTGAAGTTTGTGTATTACTTTTCTTTTTGTGAGATTTGCTTGCGATGGGTGAGAATGGGGTTTTGATGTTGAAGTTGGGGGTTTGAGTTTGGGGGTAAAGGAGTGGGGGCGGGTACGCCGTGTAACCTCAACTCCGCTGCGGAAGTCGGGGCGGAGCACTTTACCAAGTACTATCATTTGAAAAGAAGGAGGTTCTCGTGAATGAGTTTGTGTTGGTGCGGCTTGACTCGATGGTATTGTGAAATGTTAGCTCAGTATGTTAACATCCCTAGTCAACGCAGCTGGCTTGAAGATCTTGACGTGTGTCGTTTTCGTGAGCCTGTGTCGATCACTTCATGAACCTGCTCGATGGCGTCCGGACGGTATGGCAACCCGCGATCTGGCATATCTACCATGTTGTGGAAGGTATCTTATTCTTCAGATCTCACGCCAATACGCCGTCAGATCAGCGAATTGTTCTCCCCCAGACAGGAATATCATGTCAGCTGGGTCTTCGCTTCCGGACTCGGCACCGCCCAGAACTGCGGACCTCCGAGGCCGTGAGATTCGAACAAGACGAATGGGAGGACCATTTGAGACGGATTAGAGACTATTGGTCATTTCCGTCTATTTAATGCTGTGTAACGGGGGAATCATCCCATTAGCCTATCGTCCGAAGACTTGAGGGGGGTTTTGCGTCGCTTGCAACGGTTGATGAATGACGGACGAGCTGCGTACAAGAGGAGAGTTATCCCAAATGTTCTGGTCTATCAAGAATTCCAAGTTTTCATTATTGCTCTGAGTGCCAGCCGTTTTCTCCCTTCCAATATGAGACCAGCTCTATTCACCCAATATCTCTCCTTTGCCATCTTACAACTCACACCATCAACTCCAGCCTCCCAAACTCCCCTAACCTCAACTCCCAAACCGCCCCCAGTCGTCAACATTAAAAACGGTACCCTAGCAGGCAAACATAACCGTCTCTACGACCAGGACTTCTTCCTCAAAATCCCCTTTGCCGCCCCGCCCATCTCCAACCTCCGCCTCCGCCGCCCCGTCCCACCTCACCCATGGCCGAACTTCACTCGTCTCGCAGACTCCTACGGCCCCTACTGCATGGGCAACGCCCTCCGCGTCCCGGGGATCTACCAGCCCGACACCGCCCTGATGAGCGAAGACTGCCTCCACCTCAACATCGTCCGCCCCGCCAGCCCCCCTCCGGAACCCAAGCTGCCCGTCATGGTCTGGATCCACGGCGGCGGTTTCCAGCACGGCAGCGCCGTCGACGCGCGCTACAACGGCTCCTTCCTCGTCGCGCAGTCCGTGGCGATGGGGACGCCCGTTATCTTCGTCAGTGTGAACTACCGCCTCGGCCTGTTCGGCATGATGAACGCCGCGGGGCTGGAGGAGAATCTGCTACTCCGCGACCAGAGGCAGGCGCTCAAGTGGGTGCAGGAGAATGTAGCTGCGTTTGGGGGCGATCCAAGTAGGGTGACTATCGCGGGGGAGAGCGCGGGGGCCGCGTCAGTTGGGTATCACCTCATGGCGCGGGATGAGAGGTTGTTTAGCGGTGCGATCGCGCAGAGCGGCGGGCCGTTTTCGACGGCGCCATTTTTGAGTGAAGAGGAGAAGAGGGTGCAGTTTGAGAGTGTGTTGAATGTGACGGGCTGCGCGGGGGTTGAGGAGCCGCTGGCGTGTTTGCGTTCTGTCCCGGCTGAGGTGTTGAATAAAGCGAGCATGGCGGTGCCGTACTCGCACACCTTCGCGTTAGACGATGACCTCGTCACTAACACGAGCTATAACCTCCTGCGCGCGGAGAACTTCGTCAAAGTCCCGCTGCTCATCGGGACGAACAGGAACGAGGCGACCTCGGTGGTGCAGTATGCCATGCCGGGACCGTTGAACACGCACGAGGACTTCGCGGGAATCGTCGCGGCCTCAAACAGCGGGAAGCTCCCGCCCGAGGTGATGGTGGAGAGGTGGGCGGCGCTGTACCAGGACGAGATTGACGTGCCGTCGGCCGCGGGGCTGGGCACGGTGCGACCGGACCCGGGCCCGGCGCTGGGGGTGGAGTACGGCAAGACGGCGCTGTTTCTTGGGGACGGGTTCTTTCATGCGGGGAGGCGGTTTGCGGCGAGGGTGTGGGCTGAGAGGGGGTTGGCGTGTTATAGTTACTTTTTTGATGTGGTGACGGCGAATGTTGATAAGGAGACGCTTGGGGCGACGCACTTTCAGGAGATTCCGTTTGTGTTTGGGGATAAGGACGGTTCGGGGTGGGAGGTCGATCCGTTTCCGGAAGATGTCGAGTTGAGGAGGCAGTTTCAGGAGTTAGCGGGTGTAATGAGCGGGATGTGGATCAGCTTTGTGGTTTGGGGGTCGCCGAACAATCATCACCAAGGTCAGGTCTTTTTATATCCCATAAGTTATTTCTTGAAGATGTTCACTAACATATCACAGAGTCAGTCGGCAATATCACTTGGCCGGTATACAATCGAGAAAAGCCGGAGAACATGGTGTTCAGTGCTACGGATGGTCTCAGCCTACAGCCTGATACATGGAGATAGGAAGCCATTCGGATGTTCTTTGGTCTGGCGGATATGAATAGTAGACAGCCGTGAAGAAAGATGGTCGTGATATGACAAAAGATTCAATCACAAAACTAAGGTTGGCTATCCCGAAACTCAAGCCTTCCTGCCTTTGAGTTGAGATATCGGTTTCTGTTGATAGAAAGCAGTCAGATGAAATACTTTTACTCACACTCAGGGCTCTCGTGAGGCACAACGTATCTCACCTCTCATCAGCCCAGTACATCACATACCATCCGGCAACCATCGGCGGCGCGACATACCAGAAGTGGCTGGCGAAGCGTCTCCAGACGTTGAAGACGGCGTTGTGAGCGGCGCCCGCTAATGGATTGAGACGATTTGGTGCGATGCCGTACGTAATGATTCCGCTCTGTTTCTGTCCTCCTGGGGCGGAGTCAGCCATGACGACCCCAAGCCTAATCTCAACTCATAGGCAAAATGGATGGCAAACCAATATTTCCCCACCATCCCTTCCAACTGCATTTTCATTGCAAGCCGTTAATGAGAATTTCTTGTCTACAGGCACAAAGCATTTGGGTTTTAGCAGTGACTTACACGCCGTATCTTCCAACTGGGACGTGCGGTCCTGACTGGAGAATCTGGGTTGGCCTCATATTTGTGTTACACGAATTGGATGTCAACTCTGAACTGAATCAAACCTGAAAAGGCGGAGATTGTCCTGCTGTTTATGTGCAAGACCTTCCAGTATAAACCTGGAACGCTTGTCAGTTATCTTCGGGTCGGTCCTCGGACTCGGCCTTGAGACTCCGCGCCCAGAAACTTTGAACGGAGAACAGCATTAGATACTCATTATTCTCTTACATGGGCAACATTGACATTGAGTCCATCCAACCAATCCCAGAAAAGTCACTGGACCAGAAGGTACCCATCATATCCAACTCGCCATCCTCCAGAGCTACACTAGGATAGCTACCCTGCGGCACCGCGTGATCTCCCACTATCTCCGTCAAGATCTCCACACACTTATCAATAACCTCACGTCCCATTTGTTCCATTGCCCCCTCAGCAGACTCCCCACTCATCTGGGCCTCAACACCAGCCAGTACAACCGCAAAGAAAACATAATCCTTCACATTATCCTGCCCTGCTCTGATGCGTGCTTCAGCCCACTCCACCCCCGCACGAAGAAGCCAACGCTCTTCCGCGATCCGCAGCGCCGAACCCGGCTTCGAGACCCCATTCTCAGCCACCCGCACGGCCAGGTCCGCGGCCAGGATGCTTGTCGCGAGGTGCTTGGTGATCCTGAACGAGCCGGAGCCGCACGTGACGAGGCGGTCGAAGTCGGGGCAGGGCTCTTTGATTCCTGATACCATGCGGATGGCTTCCACGAAGGGGTTGTCCGGGTACGAGGCCGGCAGGGTGAGGTAGGAAACTTCGAGGGCGGCGTCGACGCAGGTCTTGTGTGAGTGGCAGAAGAGAGGGTTTGAGAGCGGGACGAAGGGCATGTGGAGAGTGAAGAGGTACCGCGTGAGGATTGTGTCGCAGAAGCGGTGCTGGAACTGGGATGCTTCAGGGCGGAGAGAGGAGAGAGTCTTGTTTAGTAGCTGGCGTGCGGCCACCAATTCTGTCCCTAGCTGTAGCACGGAAGCGTATCCGCCGTTCGGTTTGATTTTGCTCCAGTGTTTTGCTACAGATAGTCGAACTCCAATGGAACGACTCAGAGCGATCTGAAGTGACATGTCCGTAAAAGTGGTGGTAGTGTTCAAAGCCGGCAGCGTCTCAATATCGGGCCCAATCTGACCATCGTTCAGATCAGCCGGGAGCTCGCAATCATAGTCATCCTCCGAGATGAAAGGCGGCTGCCCAGATTCAACACTCGCATCAAGCACCAGCTCCATCACAGTCAGCCACAGCCGACGACGCATCTGGGCCTGAAACGCCGACATCCGCGGCAGCTTCGCCGGGTCCCGGTGGAGGCCGATGCACATGGCGGATCGGAGCAAGGTCCCGTTGAGGATCCACACACGGTCGCCATACAAGGACTCCGTCGCCTGCTGAGCGAGGTGGACCAGGCACATGATCTGTATGCCGCTCATTGTCAATCTTCTCTTCTCGGACGACTCGAGCCATTCACGGGCTTCGTGGATCCACTGAAGAGCTTGGGGTCTGAATGAGAAGGTGTCATCGTTGACGCAAGCTCCGAGCGCCATGCATAATTGGAGAGTGACGATAAAGCTCGTGTTGGGATTTTCGTTATTCTTCAAGAAGGCTTCATATTCCCCTTTGAGCGTTGGTACATGGACGACACGGTAGACCGTCTCGAAAGTGCGAAGATAGTTTTCGAGTAACTTGGAAGAGGCGTCTTTATCCGGCAGATGGGATCCATATTGCCCAGGGAACCGCAGTAACAGACGCTGCGCTTTGAGGCTCTCCCCTAGAACTCGACACCGTTGGAGACCTCGCCAGCACTCCCCTTGTTGAGACACCTCCTCATCTAGCCATTTCAAGGCTGGTAGATTCTGTTAGACATGTGAGACAAGTATGAAAAGACGACATCGAAGGAAAAATAGTGGAACCTACCAGAATGACTGAATGCAGCCAATGACCTGGAGAGAAATATCTCGATTTTGCCATCAACAACGTCGGCGGAACCGAGACGTCGGTCAACGTAGCAATGGTGGGAGATCCGTCCAGCTCGGCGCGCGCGCCTTCCGCTGCGTGTGTGGGCGACTCTCCCACAACCGTCTCTCCATTCCACGTTGAAGCTGACGGCCTGCTGATGAGAACACTGCCAAGAGATGATGAATGCCAGATTCCGCATTCCGATACAGGCTGGGGCGGCGGCGGGTCGGGCTGCTGAGACGGAAGCGGTACTGTCTCTGCGGCTTCGGGCTGCGCAGACTCATCGCGCGACGGACTTTGTTGCATCTCAGGAGGGCTTTTCCATCGTGCGGACGAAGACGGCTCGGGATAGGTGCATACCCTGTTCTTTGACCGCTGGCAGCTGCTGCAGGGGCGCTGGTGGTCGCACCTCAGCTTTCTCCTTCGGCACTCCGTGCAGGCGAGGGTTCGTCGGCGCCGAATCCGGAATTTGGTTTGATAAGACCCTTCCATCACTAATACTGAGAAGTATTGACCAGTTCCTCATTGTTGTGTGGGAGGAATAGTCGTGGGAAGATGGATGAACGGCGGTCGTGGACATGGACCACGGAGTGGAGCCCAGGCTTCGGGATCGGGCTCGGACTCGGACTTTGAGTCCGGTGTACTAAGCCCATGGTAGAACTCATATTCGCGGTGAATCTCAACATCCACGAACCAATTAGATAACATAAACTTGATAACTATAAGGAGGTGGAATTAGTGGAAATGCATAGTTCATTGGTAGACTATGATAAAAATCAGAGTCATATAAACGAGCAATAAGAAACCTCTTAGCAGAATCGAATACAGCGCGAGATTCCAATCCCACGGCACCTTTTCTTGAAGATGTATCCAAATCAGTCTGATTCTCAAACGACTCTTTTCGAGATCATAGTCTTGATCTTGTCAGCATATGCTCTGTACCTATTCCTCCTCCCAAAACCAATACCCGGCATACCATACAACAAAGATGCAGCAAACTCTCTCATGGGAGACATTCCCGCACTCCTCGACAGCCAAAAACAAGACATATCGCTCTGGAAATGGGTTTCTTCCCAATGCGAGAAGCTCCAGTCACCCATCATCCAGCTCTGGCTGGCACCTTTTTCGCGACCCATAGTCGTCCTCTCCGACTTTCGCGAAGCCGAGGACATCACCATGCGGCGAACCAAAGAGCTCGACCGCTCAGACAGTCTCGAACACATCTTCGGACCTCTGTTCCCCCAATTTCACATGCTCATAAAGAGCCAGGACCCCCTCTACAAGAGGCAGCGGAGGTGGCTGCAAGACCTCATGACGCCAGGCTTCCTCCACAACGTCGCTGCTGAGCCGATCTACCAGAACGTGCTTAAGGTTGTCGAGCTGTGGGATCACAAGGCGCGGCTCGCCAGGGGACACCCCTTTGCTGCGTTTGAGGACATTTACTACGGTGCTTTGGACGCGGTGTTCTCGTTCTCGTTTGGGGGAGCGTTTGCTCATTCAGCGATACCAGCCCGACTTGAAGCGGTCGCCTCCATGGGAGGGGTAGAAGAACCTTCCAAACCTGGAGATCCTGTGTCGTTTCCAGAAGAAGCGAGGAACAAGGTCGTCGATGCGATTCTGACGCTGGCCGAATCTGTCGAGGAGGCGAGGAAAGCCGTGTTTCCGAGGTTTCGGTCCTGGTGTATGCACCAAACTTCGCGCATCAAGCAGGCCAAACGGATCCGAGACGACTTTATCGATCGCGAGATTGACATCGCTGTGGAGAGACTCAAGTCTCAGGAACCTGTATCCTCGGCAGTCGACCACATGATACACAGGGAGAAGCATTTTGCTGAGAAAGAAGGTAGGAAACCGGTATTCAAGTCTGTTGGAATGCACAGCGAGGTATGTCAAAACAGCCAGCCGCTTATCCGATGAGGCTTTACTGAATCGAGGGGGTAATGCAGGTCTTTGGCTTCTTGATGGCGGGGCATGAGACCAGCGCCACCACCTTTGGATGGGGCTTGAAGTACTTGACAGATCATCAGGATATCCAACGAACACTTCGCGATGAGCTACGCAGGCACTTATCAGAAGCAGCCGCAGAGAGACGACAGCCAACTTGCGAAGAAATCACCAAGACCACGATCCCATACCTAGATGCCACCATGGAAGAGATCCTCCGCTGCGCAGGAACCACGTCCGTCACCGACAGACAGGCCCTCTACGACACCACCATCCTAGGCCACCGAATCCCGAAAGATACAAACATCATCCTGGTCACTATCGGCGAGAGCATTATGAAGCCTGAATTCGACATACCGGATTCGCAACGCACGAAGAGGGCCCTCAACGCAGCTAGCCGCATCCGTAGCTGGAACTCGTCGCCTTATCCGGTGGCGGATTTCCAGCCCGCGCGTTGGCTGGTGCCGTCGAAAGACGACGCCGATCGCGAGGTGTTTGATGCTACCGCCGGGCCGCAAATGGCGTTTGGACTGGGGCCTAGGGCTTGTTTCGGACGGCGACTGGCGTATTTGGAGCTTAGAATGTTTACGGTGCTCTTGTTCTGCCACTTTGAGCTTCTTCGCTGCCCGGATGAGCTATCTGGGTACAATGGGTGTGTCGGACTGACTGTCAAGCCGACGCAGTGCTATGTCAGGTTGCGCAAGATACCATGGTGAGTTAGAAAGTAGCAACGGCAACGTAGGATCGTCCTGTGCTGTAGACGACATCTCTCCAGGTAATTGAGAACCTTGGGAGCGTTTTTGTACCCACTCTTTGTACTAAATAACAACTTGCGGATGGAAGATTGCTCGTATTAGTGTATACGTCCTGCGCATAGTGGGGATAATCCAATATGTATCTTGATCGAATGGTTTTATACGGCGGCGGTTGAGAAAGAGAATAGATGGGATTAGCTCCTGCTAGCTAGTGTTTTTCAGGATCGCCAAGCATTATTGTCGCTTACACCACCCGGACACGGAGCCGAAAGTGGGTCCAGAACCGGCGAGAAGTCGGTGGGCGGCGCCGGCAAAAGCGGCAAGGACGGTCGGAAGTGGACCATAACTCGCGAATCGAGCGCACACCCGTGCGACCTCAACGGGTTCTGAGTCAAAAGTTCGTTATGTTTTCTAGGGTTAAGCCAATTTAAAGTTTTCTGTTGGCAATGTTTTTGTGGATAGCCTCTTGACCTTTCTCCGGAAAACTTGATGAAACTTATAAACCGACAAGTACGCCTGTGGTTAAAAAAAAGAAGTGTCAAAGACCACACATAATTACACTCATCCACCCAAAATCGAAGCAAAATGAGTTTCCTAGCCCGCAATCCTCTGATCCGTCGACTACGAGCCGTGCCGACGGCGGCAAAAATTGCACCGCTGATGGCTGCGGGCTTCATCGTCACATTTTTGAATCTTGGGCCACCGCCATCCCCCGATGCTGCTCCAGCATACGTTGGTTCTCAACATGAACAGATAAAGCAAGAGTACCCAATCCGAGGATGGACTGGTAATTTATAATGTTCGTTAACATGTCTCAATTTCATAAACTACATTGCGTAGCTAACCAGACATGATGGATGTTAGAGCCGGCGTCTCCAGCATAACTCCCCGAGCGAAAGCCCCACCACCGCCGCCGCTTTGCACCGACGGTCACCTCCTTGCTGCCCTTCTCGCGTTACATCGACCAACCATAGAAGGGACAAATACGTGCATGAATTCGTACGTTAGCAGAGCTTCTATCAGAGACAACGGAGCTTCGTTCTGGATTACCCCCAACTCATCAGCCCACGGTCTTACCGACGCCTTCGATTGATTCGCCGGTGTTCACAAGCTCGAATGTGAGGTTTTCAACGCATCTGCCGCATGATACGTTCACCACGCACATCAACATATAACCTTGAAAGATACTCTGCTTCATGGGAAGTGCAATCTCACACTTCCGTTGACGAGGGTTAGGGTTAGCGCTCTAGTTGCATTACAACATGCAAGCGGAGCCCCTATGATATGGCAGACAGACAACAGCAAATTCTACGCGCCACCCAGGACGTATGAAGGAACACAATTGATTGGATTGACTGCTGTTAAACCAGCGGGCCAAATGGCGCGATGTGCGGTCGGAATTTCGAATCTCAAGTTACTACATCGCCGATCTGTAACAGGCGGCACAATAGGGGGAACAGGCCCGTCTGCTATCTATCTGATGCGACAGCCCATGTCGAGTCTTCGAACAGAGATCATGCGCTGCGCTGCGCAGCCTGCTTGCTACTTTCTGAAGGAGGTCGACCGCCAGCTTTCAATGTAAACAGCAACTCAGATTGCTTTGTTAACCGGTCGAACCTGCCTTTTTAGCTGAGGAAAGGAAAGGAGTGAGGGTCGCATGACCCTGGCAACTCTTTTCTCAACTGGCGGTTGTCGCCCTTTCATACGGATCCAGATGCCCCGCCTGGGCTTGCTTCGCTCAAGCCGTGGCCGTCGGGTGGACAAAAGATAAGAGAAATCTCGGAGTTCCACAAAACGGTGTCGCGCAAGGTCAAACCGCTTTGTCCGTGTTTCACAGATTGTACTGTCACATTAGGCGCATCCGAGACCGACAACACCCTTTTGCGGCCGCTGCAGCAAAATGAGAAGTAAATGGCTGAGTACAAAATGCGCAACCCGTAGCTGTGGTATGCCCGAAGTTCGCGGGAGGATGTTATCTCTGCAAAGTGATCTACGTGCACAAGTCATACACATATATATATTTTATTACGCCCCGATAAAATAATATAGCTTATCTTCATACTCTTCACCACCCGCAGCTTACATCCTTGCCTCCCAGAAGCCCGTGCCAGTGTTATCTACCTACCTATATGTTATACTTTGTCAATGCTTCTCAGTGCTGTGGTTGCACGTGGGTTTAGTTGCGGGCTCTCTTGAGTCCATTCCCCCAAGTCATGCGCACTTCACGACTGATAAGATCAATGACACCCTAAGGTGAGCATTTATAGGCTTGACCCCCACTCTGGCGAGAATGAAGCCTTTGCGGCGCTCGATAAGAAGCCGCTTATCTTGAGTCTCGGCATTCCCGACGTGCCCACACACCAATCACCCAAGACCCGTTATTCCAGGAACGGCAATTGAGTCCTCGGAATAACAGACGTCAACGTCAGAAGTGATCTGCGCAAGTGCCGCTCCTCTGGTTTGAGGTGCACCCTCCCCCTTAGGGCTGGGGGGATGTCATCGTGAACTATTCATAGCCCCCACAGCTGTCATGTACCTCCTCCAGCGCGTTTGCTGCACCATCTCTACGATGACTTCTTATATTGAGTCGTGCCCATGCCAAGGCCTTATGCATCGGGTTTGTCCGCTGGTGCTTGAAGTTCACCCTTAATCATTTTGTCTCCAACGGTTCTGCTATCGGGACGCGATTTCCGATTTACCGATTAATACAGCACTCCATAACAGTACGCGGAAGACTATGCTCCTCCGGTGATTCGTTTGCCTTACCAGCGGAGCTGTCCTTATTCAACATCGTCTAAGACCCCCGGCGTCCGCACGAATCAAGTGCCGATGATCCTTTGAGTTCACAACTCGATATCCAGTCAAGACAAAACCAAGTGCCAAGGGTTGATATCAAACGGAGCGCCCGCGGCCCGCCACGCACAGCCTCGACATCATACGAGACTAGATCTTATCAGCAGAACTGTGCGTCGGTTCTTAGATATCTTCGCGATCAACCCAACTCTCTTTCACTTCCATCATATACCCAGCATCGCACTTGGCTCGCCTTCCTGTCGCCCACAACTCCACGCCAATTCAATATCACCACGAGTTTCAAGCTGTCGGCAGTATGATCTTCTCGAACGTCATTGCGCTTGCGGCGCTTGGTCTCGGTGCTTCACTGGCCTCGGGGCACAGCATCGAGGTGTTAGGAACCGCTCCACTAGCCTCAAGGCGCAGCATCGAGGTGTTGGAAACACGACAAGATGCGCAACCAGCACAGAATGTCACCGTTGACGACTGTTCCTTCTTTTCCGAAGACGGGTACGTATTGTCCCTCCCCATCCTCAACTGTGACTCTTGCAACCTGCTGACGCATCGAACTATTTCCAGCATCTTGCCAGAATGTTGGCAGGTTCTCGAAATGAACAACCACCTAAATGTAAGTTGCCCAGCCACTCATTTCTAATGCAGAGCGAACCGAGCTAATTGCCTTTGCAGCACTGGTGGTCCAACAACTCTGCGAGGTGCGAGGCTTCGAAGAAGGGCTTTGCCCAGTGTTACCTGGATTCCGCCGTATGAAAGACCCCGCCTTTGGCACGATCGACGATACAATCGACCTCAATCTGACGTGACACAGGGTCTCATTTCATGGCAATGCGACTTCGTGGCTCTCAACGCATGCACTCCGCCTCCCAGCGGGCGCGACGCTGGATATGCCTCGTATCAGGAGTTTTACGTGAGTGTTGGCCGCAGATTGCATGGCGTCTCAATGCTAATTATGTCTTCGTTAGGTCATCTGGAACATCTATGGTTAGATTCCTTGCCGTTTGAATGCTTTGATCTCTTGAGCAGCCCGTTGACGCAGTGTACCAGCCATCAATCTCTTCTGGACCAATTACCATTCGTCGCTACTTCAGGGACAGGCAAGTGCTATGTAAGTCTCTACTACACCCTCGTCGTTTAACCTGTTTGCTCACCAGTCTAAAATAGTGGTTCAGTGGCCGAGATCGTCAAGACCGTCGCGCCGCCAACGACGAAGAACCCCAAAACACCGCTGTTTTCTCCGATCTACCTGGTCGGCCTCGGTCAATTCGCGGTAAGTAGGACATTGGCTCGTCATTGTCGATAGAACCAAACGCTGATGGGTGCAACAGGCGTTGGCTCCTCTCCTCGGTGGTTCAGTTGCAGCAAGCATGATCTTCGCCTCCCTGATCGGTGTTCTGGGTGGTGGATCTGGTCTTTTCAATCTGCTGTTCCCTCAGAAGACGGTGTACGACGTGCCCTGGGAGGGCTTGTCAGATGCCCTTGGGACGAACGTCAACGAATTTCAGAAGAATGTCGGAGCAGCTTTGACTGAAATTCAGACAAACTTTGACACATTCTATGCGCTTACCTCAAATGGTGGCTTCAGCCAGGTAATTGTCAACTTACTATGCTGTGCGGAGTTTGACTGACACTCGGCCAACAGAGGCTCAAGACGAACTTACCAGAGGACACTGACTTCATGTACCACAACCTCAAGAAATGGGTTTTCAACCAGGCTTTGCAGCAAGCAGGCTACTTCGCCGTCAAGAAGTGCGTTGGCTTCGCCCCTCAAACACTGTACCAAATGGAGACTAACAAGTTGCTTGCAGTCCCGGTGTCGACCCGCGGGAAATTCCTATTGACCCGTATGATTGCTCGAAGTTGGACGACAAGATGACGTGCGGCCCAATTTGGTTCGACGGTAAAGACTCATACGGCCTCGCGAAAGCAAACGGTAAGTCTACATTCGTTTGAGAGATGTTATCCCAGAGCTCGACTAATCATTCGTGGATGGTAGATATTGGCATGGATCGCATGAAGGAGATCCTCGACGTAGCGTTTTCCAAAAACTGGACGACGCCGAGCGAACTCTACATCGACGCTCAGTCGTGTCGTGGGAAGAACGGGTCTGAGGCGTTTGATGTAAAAGACTTGACGCTGAGCTGTGTGGTGAGTTGACCCTCTTTCGCAGTCTGCGTAGTCTGCAAATTGACGGGGAATTCATGGCGCTAACAACATGCGATATCCAGTCTAACCTACCTGTCTGCGAATTCAATTTCGACTATAATCCATATGAGACCACCTGGGCCCGCGTAAACCCACCGCAGTTTACTAACTGTCCCAACATGAGGGGTTGGGGAGTTCCTCCTTACTGGAGTAATGATGCCGGAGTGCCACTGACCTATATTGGTCCTTTCTTGGTAAGTCAAGACATCTTGTAATGCTTCTTTCCAATAGCAGCACACCGCTGACAGAGTTTATTAGATGTCTGGCGTGATTTATAATGAGAAGAGCGGATGAGTTTGTGCTGCTTCGTTGTGGATTGGCTCGGATCAAAAGCATTTAGAACATGATTACTGGATACCTATCCCATGAAACGTATGGTAGAGCTTGAAATTTGATATTATACGCTATTGAAATGGCCTGATCCATCTGTGAGTCTAGCAAAGGGCTGTCGAGGCAGAATCATCGCGGACTTGCCTGTTCTTCTGTACTACCTGCCTGCGCACGGGCTCCAAATGGGCTTCTGAGATATGTTGACGCCTCTCATGCCACTGTCACGGGTCTAGCATGGAGGTACAGGCGCCCTGCCCCGCGCGGTCGACGACGATATCTGACACTCATGCAACGCTAGAACAGCATGGATTTCATTTCTTTACTTTGCGCTGCGTCCTGTATCTAGGCCCTGGTTCCTTCGGTATTGCCGCCGCAGAGTTTACATCTTCAGAAAGCGAAGTGACGGCACGGCCCTTCACAGAGAGGAACCCTGGCTTCGCCCGTGTCTCAACCCCCACGCATATCCTTGTTCAGCAGAGATGGGTTGATGGAAGGCAACAACGATGCTGAATTAAGAGATGCACAGCCTCCGGCATGGGGGGCTAGACTACTTAGCTCCTCACAAATCTCATGTACGATTCTTCACGTTCCACGGGCGGAGCGTCTGTCATGATCATGTCCCCATCCGCATCAACCTCCCGCGTGACGTGATCAGGTCTACGTACAGTGCTGCCGCCTCTGCCTCTGCCAACGAGGCACTCGAATGTTGCTTGGGAGGCTCTGCTATTGTCCACATTACGCTGATGACCTGCGCCTATTTCCGGACGACAGTCAATTTGGGGGTATGTCTGATAGTGTCGAGGATACGTGGGAACCTGTGTAGATGTGGGTTTAGATGTGGGTTCATTCACATGACGGTCGTACGCCCTTGGTGTTGAGTATCTGGTGTTGCTTTGCATCTGGTACGAGTTACACGAGAGAAGGGTGCAGAAGGGTTAAGAGCTGAGGGATAGGGGTTGCCGAGAGAGTAAGAGTAGGTACGCGAAGGTATCCAGGGGTTGCTATGTCTTTTAGTTTCTGCGACACTTAGGTCTTCCAATAGAACCAAAAGTATTTATATTTACCACAGCGGCATCTTGTGTTACCACAGCACGCTGCATCACTGCTCTATGTGTGTCTGTGTAACTTCGATCTTGATTCACCATGTACTAATGGGATATCTCCAGCAACAACGCAGACTCTTTCGATTTCTGAAAGCCGAAACTCTGTGTCTAAGCTTGTCTTCCTCTGCCTCCGAACAATTAATGGGCAGGCAGCACGCAGTTCCACGCCGTCGACAAATTCGAGTTCTGAACCCCATCCCATCGACTCTCATACGGATACGAGCAATACTCTGCCTCAAATTAGCAACCACACCCACAAAACACTCACAAAACAACAGAAAACAAACTTACTCCTCTCAGCCAACACCTCGCAATTGCCCTCACCCCCATACATCGCTCCCACAACCTCCTCCGCCGCCCTCCCGCCCTCAACCCACTCCACAAGCGCCAATAACGCGTTCCCCCTCGGATCCAGCCGTCGCCCATCAAGGGGGTACGTCTGCCCGATATCCCACGCGCCGCGCCCGCCGCTGCAGTGCCTCATCCCCGGGATAAAAAACAACCTGTAGAACCCGTCCATCTCGGCCTGCGTCAGCCCGACCACGCGCTTCACACCCTCAAAGAACTCAGAGCTCAGCGCCGGCGTGACGGTCTGGTCCGCCCGCCCGTGGTACTGTAGAATCTTGCCGCCCCGCGCGCGGAACGCGGTGAGGTTGCGGAAGTCGGCGTTGATGCCGCCTGGATTGAGGGCCACGGCAAAGTCCATCCGCGACTCGTTGAAGGCGTGCGGCGTCCATGAGGAGTCGTTGTAGACCGCGCCTCTCCAGAAGTCCTGGCCCTCCATGCATTAGGACACCCCATCTCGAACTCGAACAAGGGTTTCTCACCTGGAGAATCGTGTACACCAACTCCGCCCTCCCATCCACGATGTTATCCGAAAACACACCCGTGTCCGCCCCGAGCCCGAAGGCAGGATACACAACCCTCCCCTCAGAATCCCTAATCGGCTCATACGCCCTCCTCACAGACTCAACCTGCTCCGGCCCCAAACACACCTCCCTCTCCTCCTCCCCCTCTTTACAAGCCATCACCGCCGGGTCAAAAACATGCCTCAAAGGCTCATCAACAATCCCATCCTCCACCCCGTCCGCGGCATCAAACATCTCAACCTGCCTCCGCACAATCTCCTCCCACACCTCATTCCTCACATACCCCTCCGAGCCAATATCAGGCCACCCAATCCTCGTTGCCAAAATCCCCTTGGACGCCACAATATGCAACCAATCTACCCCGGGTGCGCCGACCAGCACCCCATCAAAGTCGTCCGGAAATAACGCCGCTTCCTGCAACCCCTGCCGCCCCCCCGTACTACACCCCTGATAATACCTCACCTTCTCCTCCCGGCGGTAATACGCGCCGACAACCCTCCGCGCCGTCTCAACCTCAACATGCACCCCCCTCGTCCCAAAGTCTCGGATCGTCTCCGGCTTGTCCAGGAAGAAATCCCACCCCGCCGCGCCGTCGTGTCCTGCATTCGTCCCGAAGGTCGCAAACCCGAGCAGACAACCGCTCTGCAAGACGGGGTAATCGACGCAGCCGCCGATGCCGCCCGTCCCTGACGCGAGCAGCCGGGAGTTCCAGGCCTCGGGGGGCGGTAGCCAGCCTTCCACGCGCACGGCGCTTGAGGGGGATGTTGCAACGTCAAGGACGACCCGGCAGATTGAGATGGGTGTTGTGAGGTTGAAGGAGGCGCCGCCACAAGAGGGGACTTGCGGGATGAGGAGGGTGGTGTTGGCGGGGTGGAGGGAGGCCGATATGAGGGTTGTATTTGGGAGGGTGAAGGTCGTTGCGGTGCAGTTGGGGGTGAATGCGAGAGTGGATTTTATGAGGACCGAGAGTATGAAGGCGAGATATGGCTTCATTTTGAGTCAGAGAGGAGCCGTGAAAGAATTGCAAGCAAACTTGAGAGTGTGTTTCTGATGCCATGTCATCTAAATCAGATTTGTTGTCCGGGGACATGATCTAGATGTGTACCAAGTCCATGAGACTGGTCTGAGGAAAACGACACCCCGAACGAAGAGTTGTAATCGGACTTCGGCGCCGATGGCCGTAAGAAGAATCACTGCCTACGATGATCCTCCGGGCCTACCCCGCGCGGGGTTTTACAAGTCATTGCGGGGAAACGGTCGATAGCATTGCCAATCATTTACTAGGACGCCATCCAAAGAGCACGGTAATTAGCTATTTGGAGTTGACGAATAACCGCAGAGGTATGCAGATGACTGCGTATCAGGTAGCTTGTCGTCTTCGCTGGAGAACGAAGCATCATTGCATACCTACTTGGTGCAGATCGGCGGCCGCGGAGGAGAGCCCGGAAAAGCGGGGCCGGATCGGGGCCGGATCGGGCCCCAAACAGGCAACTTTTTCTACTAACGCAGTATGCTGCTACGGCTTGTATTCCATCCATGGACCAGATACTTAACAGCACAAGATGATTGTGGAAGCATTGTCGCAACCAAATTTCTATTCCTCTCTATATCCGACGCATACTTCTTCTAACTACTAAAGCGTCTAAAACTTCGCCAAGGTGGTGCCGACCTTGTGCTTCCCAGCGAGCTCCAGAATGACCTTTCCAAGCGACAGATCCATGATACCAATGCCAACACTCTTATACACAACAAGACCATTCGCAAGCCACTCCTTCAGCCCCTTCGCCTCATCGTCGCCCGCTTTCCGCAGCCTGTCCGTGAACTCGCCAACTTCGACAATCTTCTCCGCGGGAATCTTGGCCTCCACAAGCTCGCCGGCCTCCAAAAAGCACGCCTCCCGGCTGTCCACAAAGATCACGCCATCCTTCTTCTCGCCCTGCGACGGCGCATACGCTCCCAGCGGCGTGTCGATAACAGCCCTGAGGAAGTCGGGGTCGATCTCCTTCATGTTGAGCTTGTACGACCCAATCGCGGCAATGTACCGCGTCTTCGCCGTCGCGCGCTCCGACGTCAGCCACTCCGCGGGGAACAGCCGCTCAGTCGAGGGCGTCGTGCAGAAGATGACATCGCTCCCCTCAACAGCAGCCCGCAGCGCACCCTCATCCGCAGGCGTCGTCCCCGGCGCGGCCTCGATGACAGAGAACTCCACCCCCGAGCAGTCCCCAACACCACTTGCGGAACCCATCTGCCGCAACCGCTCGATCAGCTGGCGCGCGCGGCCCTCAGACCGGTTAACGATCGTGACGCTCTTCATATCCCCGCCGCGCAGCACGAGAGCCAGGCGCAGATGCCACAGCGCCTGCTTCCCCGCGCCGAAGACCACAATCTTCTCCGTCGCCTGTCGGTAGCGGTACAGCAGGATGGAGCCCAGCGACGTACGGAAGGCGGTCAGCTCCTCGGCGTTGATCACGCCGACGGCGCGGCCGGTGCCATCGCACACGGTGAGCACGCAGCGCAGGCCGCCGGCCGCGGCGTGCGGCGGCGGGAGCCCGACGACCTTGACGGACATGCCGCCCTCCATGGTCGCGGGCATGAAGAGGCCGGTGGTGCCGTCCGGGCGGACGACGGCGGCGCGGTGCGGCTGGTATTGTGCTTCTTGGCCGACGGAGTAGGAGAGGAAGGCGTCCGTGAGGACGTCGGACATGTGGGAGACGTCGTCGGGGCCGAAGTTCTGGAAGAGCTGTTTTACGTCCTCGTCGGACAGGACTGTGAAAGCCATGGTGGGGGGTGGGGGGTTGGTGTCTGCGATTTCTGGGAATGGGCGTTCGCTAGTGAGTTTTTGGAGAACTTTCGCCTTGGGACTAAAGATATAAGTTGAAGAAGGGAGTTTGAGCGCTGCAAAGAAAGTAAAATGAGTGTTGTTGAATATGGTCTGAGGATGTGTAAACGGGTGGACCGAAGTAAGCCGGTCCCTCTCCGAGGATTTGCATGCTGCGGGGCGCCGGTCGGACCCCTGTCCCCGTGGCCCGATCTCGGACCCCCTCGGCTTGACCTGCCGGTTCCGTTGAGTTTTCTTGCCCTTTTGAGCCAGAATGTCGGGGTTCACCAGTCGGAATAATAGTGCAGAAAGTCGGAGGCTCAAGCCGACTTTCCATTTGATGTACGTTGGTTATACTGCGGCTTCTGTGATCGCATCATGTGTTGTCTGTTTTGGCTCGTGGATGTAATCACACATGTGATGATAGAATATTGTGATGCCAATGATACAGTCACAGCGAGCATGTTTAAGGACAAATGCGAGTCGCCATAATCATACCATTTCATCCGAGTTGGATTGACTCCGATTGCTTCAATCAGCGATATACTCCTGCGGGTGTGCAGCATTGGCTTACTTGCAGGTAAACGGCCTACCAGTGCCGATGCAAGATTGGCGATCACCGGTCTAGTTCTGTCTCTGGACTCCAATTCGCTTGACGGTGATCTTGTCTGGTTGTTAATTTTGCAGCAATATTTTGACGTGGCCTTGCATCTTTATGGGAAGCAATTCCTACCCAGACGTCTAAAAGAGACTGCATCACGGAGATGCGTGCGTCAATAAATTGGCCCAACCCGCAACAAGACGTCGATCGAGGGGGGAAAGTCTCAAGAGGCAAGTGAACCGCGCCTTGCCCCCTTTCGTCATCGCCAGCATGGATGTATTGGAAGACTGCCGGCTGAGCGCAAATAGAAAGCAGGCAATCGTCGACACCAGGTCTTGGGTTTGCAACGGCGTCATCTGGATTGGTGGTCGTGGTCCGTGTCGGATAGTCCACATGATGCCTCCCCACGATGCCTCCCTTTCGGTAGAACTCTCCCGAATACGGTCCCTGCCGCCACATCACCTCCTTCCGCGTCATAACCCGAGCTCTGCATGTTTTGTCGAAAGGGCTGTTCGATCCACGCGATACACCTTGCCTCGCCGCGCCGGCCGCGGGAAACCTAACGCGGAGATGGTGCGGAGGTAACGTGGAAGAGTGCGAGCATCGAAAACTCTCGACTTCGGATGACCTCTCGGAAAGAGGTAACTCAAGGCTTTGGCGGATAAATCATAACGGATGCGTCTGTACTTTGATCAGCGATGCCCATCAAACCAAATGAGAGAAACTGCTGCCGAGCTTGTGCTCAAGTTGACAGACCGGAGGGAGGGAGGGCTGGCTTCCGCCACACCACCAAACAATCAACCCAAACCCAGTGTCATCGCCCGAACGTCATAAATGTCAGTTTGCGTTCAGACTGAATCGCAGAGACGGCGATCACGTTCATCGCATCGTAGTCAGCTGCCATCCCGAGTACCCGGGACGTCCGCATCCACCGTGAACCAACGACCAACAAACCAACAAACGCGGCGCCGGCGCCGGCGCCGTGATGGTGCGGCGCAGCAGCATAACGCCGGACCATAACGGCCGAGTTCAGAGAGAACCCAAAACTCCCAAAAAGTCGGGGGGATCGCAAGGTCTTCGGCAGGATTTAGCGCCAAATCTCTCTCTCAGAACCCCGTCTGAACCCCACCAAAAGTCCGCAACGTCGGGTGCCAGACCGGGAGGGCACGGCCAAGGGCGCCAAGGATGCGCGGACTTTCGGGTCCGCGGGGCCATCACCGGCCCGCTGCAGCGCCCTCTGAGACACTTTTTTTGGACATTGCGTGCAGCATGCATGCTCTGCTCTTAGCTGCAACGGTCTCTGCTGCCGTGTCACCCTGTCAAATGCAAGCACGCCCAAGAATTGTCGCTCATTGCCAGAGGTGATGACAAACCGGGAGGTCCCTTTTCGACCGACGTTGACCGGTGCTGCGAAAACGAGGAAAAGAACGGCCTGCTGTAGCGTCTTGCATATCCGTCGCCGCCACCATCGAAAGAAACCTACCTCACGTTCCCCCGGCCGGTTCTAGTCCAATACCCGCTGTCGTGCTCCCCACGGCACCCCCTGGGCCTGCCTTAGGTCCAGTCCAAGCAGCAGCCCTGATGCGCCCTGTGCCCGCCACTTCGACGACATCACTCCAGACGACTTACACGCACAAAGCGGGTGTGAGATCCACTTCCATGCCAAAACCTCGGAGCCGAGCTGCCATCTCAGGAAACACATCAGGCCCATTTCCTGTATGAAGGTATGAACCGCAGACGTTAGGATGCCACATTGACCGTAAAAGAACAAGGATAGAGGGTGTGTGGTAATCGACGGGAAGGATTGCGCCTACCCGTGTTTCTGCCCTGCACGATGAGACTACCGACAGCTCACATTTCCGACTTCTCTTACAGCCGCACCCCCCCCCTTTGTGCTCGCCTAGCGCCTAGTGCCCATGAGAGAGTGAGAAAAAGAGAAAGCGAACCTATCCCGAGTCGAGACTAGGAGAGACGGGCGGGACAAATCGTCTCAACGGCCCGCCGCGCGTCATGGGCACTCTCCCGCCCACGGTGTGGGAGCGGCGTTGCTCGATCGACGGGCCTATCACCAAGTGGGAAAGGAGCAGGAAAACTCTAGATTCGTCCGCGGAGTAGCTCCACGCCTCCATGACATCTGCAAGATGATATGAGAAAAGAAGGGACCCAAGAGTGTTCGTATCATGCATGACGGCGTCCGGATGGGCCCCGGGGGGCGTTGGAGTCGCGAAAGGATACCCGGCAAGTCGATGCCGCTGCGGTCTGCGGTCTGCGGTATGAGGCTTGGGGTCCTGTCGGGTTCGTCTGTGCCTTGACTTGACTCGGGCACAGTCCGCCGGCCGGGTTCCTTTGGCGAATGGATGGCGGGGAAATGGTAAACAGCCTGTGACGTTGACGTTTTATGAAGGTGCAGAGGGCCATCGTTGGTATTCTAAGTTTGATATGGTGAAGGGGTGTGTATGCTGCGGAGAAGCAGTATATAAAGAGTTCGCTACGACCCGGTTGAGATGTCTGTACTCGACTCTTGATATCAGGCAATCTAGTTTCTCTAGTCTTTCAGTCTTCGACTCGCCAGACCTCTGGTTACAGCTTCATGTGCATCCCTTCATCATAATCCTCCATCACTAACTTACCAGACCGCCAAAGGATGTTGTCAGACATCCAAGCAGCGAGCCCAAGGCTCTCCCCCTTCATCCTCTGGCCCACCGTGGTCGTCTCCCTGGTATGAACCTCACTTACAGTCCAACCACTCCAAACACCACACCTCAAAGCAGCAACTAACACCAAATCCACTACCCCCCAGGCCCTCATCTACGCCCTCCTCTCAGCAATCTACAACCTCACCCTCCACCCGCTCGCAAAACACCCCGGCCCAAAGCTCTGGGCCGCCTCCCGCCTGCCCTACTCCCTCATGCTCCTCCGCGGCAACCCGCACAAGGACATCCTCGCCCTGCACGCCCGCTACGGCGACGTCGTCCGCCTCTCCCCGTCCCTCCTCTCTTTCCAGGCCCCGGACGCCTGGAAGGAGGTCATGGGCCACCGCAAGGGCGGCAAGCTCGAGGAGAACGCCAAGCTGCCCGACTTCATCGACGAGCGCCACGCCGACCTCATCTCCGCGAACCGCGAGGACCACGCCCGCTACCGCCGCATTTTGTCTCATGGCTTCTCCGCCAAGAGCATGCAGGACCAGCAGCCCATCATCAAGTCCTACATCGACCTGCTCATCGAGCGCCTGCACAGCATCGCCGGCCAGGGCCCGCTCGACGTCGTGCAGTGGTACAACTTCACCACTTTTGATATCATCGGCGACCTGGCCTTCGGCGAGTCCTTCGGCTGCCTCGAGAACTCGGACTACCACCCGTGGGTGCGCCTCATTTTTGATGATATCAAGGTCGGCATCTACTTCTTCGTCTTCAAGAGCTACAAGCTGGTCGAGCCGCTGCTCAAGATGTTCGTGCCCAAGTCGCTGCTCGACAAGCGCGTCGCGCATTACCAGCTCATCGAGGAGAAGCTCGACCGGCGCATCGCGATGGGCACGCCGCGGCCGGACTTTGCGCAGTCGATGCTGAACAAGACTGGTGATGAAGTAAGCCCTTCCCCGTTCCCGCTTTCTCGTCAATGTCATGTCAACTTACACAAATCTCACACAAGGCCCTCACCCGCACCGAGCTCATCATGCACTCCCGCCTCCTCATCATCGCCGGCTCCGAGACAACAGCCACCGCCCTCTCCGGTGCCACCTACCTCCTCTGCTCTAACCCGTCTACCCTCGCCAAGCTCAACCAAGAGGTCCGCTCCGCCTTCGCCTCCGAGGACGAGATCGACATCATCTCCACCGCAAAGCTCGACTACCTCCAGGCCGTCCTCGAGGAGGCCCTGCGCATGTACCCGCCCGTCCCGAGCGCTTTGCCCCGCGTCACGCCGCCGGGCGGCCAGGAGATTCTGGGGCAGTGGATTCCCGGGAACGTGAGTGTTGTCCCTTGTCACTTGTCCTTCGACAAACAGGGAGTTGGTATCTTGGGGGTGAAGGATTCTGACGTGAAAGAACAGACGACGCTCGACATCTGGCACTGGGCAATGTACCACAACGAGAAGAACTTCCGCAAGCCCTTCGATTTCCACCCGGAGCGCTGGATGGGCGACCCCGAGTTTGCAAACGACTCGCTCGACGCCCTTAAGCCGTTCCACATTGGCCCGAGAAACTGTCTCGGCATGAAGTATGTCGTCCATCCTTCTTCCCCTTTTATTCTCAGTCCCCCGTTCGCTCTTCACCAAACAGCATCACCAATTGAGTCTAAATCATATGAGTCGAGTACTGACTGTGGCAAAACAACAATAGCCTCGCCTACGCAGAGATGCGCATGATCCTCGCCCGCGTAATCTACAACTTCGACCTCCAGCTCGCCGAGGAGAGCAGGGACTGGCTGCGCTGCGACCAGCACCAGGTCCACATCCTCTGGAACAAGCCGCCGCTCAAGGTGCACATGACGCCCAGGAAGAGAGAATAAAGGGGTCAGTCAGTAGCAGTATTAATTACACAGCCCCCCTCCGGCGTGTGTTTTTGGCGGGGATTCTTCATCAGCTCTGAAGAGTTACGGTTTATGAACTCTTCACAACTGTCCAATTTTTTTTTATCAGGCTTTCTTGTTATCGTGGGTATTGGGGTAGAAGAATTCAGGTGTTAGATTTGGATAAAGTCGAGATTCGGGATACGGGTTCAAATTGTGACTTTGTTCATAGCATTGAGCAAAGTTGTTTTACTGGTTTAACTTGTTGATTTTCTTGTGCTGCGTGGGCTTTGAAAGTTCATTGACATCATAGCATTGCAAAATTGATAGTTTTAAACTAGACAGCGACTGATGATATCTCCATTCGCCTTGGTCTTTCGTCTCTCATCCTGTGCGCATACTCTGAGTCGGATTCAGCTCTCCCTCCTTATTTCTGTTCATCCCCTGCCTCTCTCTCTCTCTCTCTCTCTCTCTCTCTCTCTCTCTCTCTCTTTCTCCCTTGCCCTCTATACTTCTGTTCTTCCTCTAGCTCTCTTCTGTAATGACTTTACTTTTCTGTTCTTCCTCTGTCTTCCCGTCTCTGTCTCTCCGCAGTCATAAGTCATAAGTCTACCCCCCCTCACGACTTCGCATCCTTACCCCCTTTCCGACCATGTAGTCAATGCTTCCTCCTCGGCGCGCGGTGGTACTGGTTCGCCCACTTGACCTTGACCCCAATCTCGTCCGCAATCTTGTACACGAAATTCGGCTCCCGCAGAAACTGCCTCGCCACCAGCACCGCGTCCGCCTGCGTGACCTGCCCATGCTCCTCGTCCACCTCCAGCGTCGCGCAGTTGCCCTGGTCCACGCCGTTGTGCCCGCTCGCCTCGCCGTTCGTCTGCTCCCCGCGCGCCTGCACGATGCTGCGCGCCATCTCGCCGCTCGAGATCATGCCCACGGCGCCGATGAGCAGCGCCTTGCCCTCTTCTTCGAGCGCCGCCCGGATCTTGCCCGCGATGCTGACCTGGTAGTACGGCGAGATCTCAATCTTCTGCGCGTGGTTGTTGCCGCCCGAGGACACGTCGAGCAGGTCGACGCCGGCGTCGGGCAGGAGCTTCGCGAGGCGCAGCGAGTCGTCGACGGTCCAGGACGGCGCGCCGGCGTACTCCATCCACTCGGTGGCCGAGATGCGCAGGAAGAGTGGCATGCCGGACGGGATGACATCGCGGACGGCCTGGATGGTCTCGAAGAGGAAGCGGGTGCGGTTCTCGAAGCTGCCGCCGTATTGGTCGGTGCGTTGCTGTGAGTTTGTCAGTTACTGGTCGTTTTTATGATAAGAAGACAACCTACGTTGCTCAGAGGCGACAAGAACTCTGAGATCAAGTACCCATGCGCGCCGTGAATCTCAATGACATCGAACCCGGCCTCGACAGCCCTCTTCGCGCTCTCGGCGAACTTCTTCACCAACACAGCAATCTCCTCGACGCTCAGCTCCTTCGGCAGCGCCCACCCCTCGTCAAAGGGGATACTGCTCGGCCCGACCACATCCTCAGGCCACCCGCCCTCCTCCTCCTTCGCCAGCGCCTTGCCGACTTTCTCCGTAATCCACGGCGCGAGCGTGCTCGCCTTGCGGCCCGCGTGCGCGAGCTGGATCCCCGCAAGCTGGCCCTGCGAGTGCACGAAATCAACAACACGCTTCAGCGGCGCCGTCTGCGAATCCGCCCACAGGCCGACGTCCTCGGGCGAGATGCGGCCGCGCGGCTCGACGGCGGTGGCCTCGACGATGGTCAGCCCCGCGCCGTGCAGCGCGAACTGGCCCAGGTGCACGAGGTGGTAGTCCGTCACGTGGCCGTCGCGGGCGGAGTACTGGCACATGGGCGAGACCCAGACGCGGTTGTTGATGGTGAGGTCGCGGATGCGGAGGGGCTGGAACAGCGTCGGGGCCCGGGGGGAGGCGTCGACGGGGGTGCCGGCGGGGGGCTCCTGGGCCGGGGTGTAAAACGGCACGTTGGGGGCCGGCTTGTTTGCGGTTTTTGTCATTGTCGCTTGCGGGAAGGGGGGGAGAGACGTGGACGTGCGGGAATGATTGCGATGCTGCTGCGATGGGACGGGTGTGCGTGCGGGGATTGTCCTCTGTTCTGTCTGTGCCGGGGGAGGATGAGGCTAGTCAGTGACGACAACGGGCGTCGGTTGTGGTGTTTTGCTGTTTTGGCAGAGGTTTCGAGTTGATGATGTTGCTGTCAGTCTTTTTGACGTCGACAACTGGGGGCGGAAGGGGGAACGGGGGTTTATGAACAAGGTTATAAATCCCGACAGCGGAAGACAGATCCCGCGAAGATGGGGCAGTCGAGCGTGCTTTGTGGTAGTTGGTCGTCGATTTGTCAAACTTATCCCGGTCGAGATAGGAAAGAAGCTCGTCGGTGGTTGGTGCCGTCACACGTTTCTCGTCCTTTGAGCAATTACCCAGCAAGAGACACTAACTGGACAAGTGTGGGGTCCGCAGAGGCAAGATTTATCAGCTTCGGTGCAAAGGTACGCCGTCCAGTAACGAATTGCAGCACAGCGCCTTACAACCACCGCCCTAAAACAACCGCGGCATCTCCATATCTCGCGCCATCAGTGAAGCCATCCATTCCCACTTTGCTGAGTAATTGGAATTGCCGAATAGTGTGCGTCAGTGAGGGATGCATGGCAAAAAACTGTGACGCTCTGCTGTGGCGTCATCCCGAGTTATTTCCCTTTCGCGGCGCCGATCCGGCAACCAACGGCCTGTCTCCCCTCGAGTAGACCTCGCGAACCCCAAAGCTCGATCTGCTTGAGTGTGCCCTCTACGCGCGACACTAGCCCCGTTTCTCGCTACGGCGTTCTCCGTGTTTCCTGTAAATGAAGTCGCATTTTGTTTGTGCAAAGGCGTTTCGAAGACTCTGTTGATCCGTTGCAAGGGTCTTGTTTGACTAGTTGTCGCTTGAGACTAACATGTGCCACAACCCATGATACCGCACGGCCCCATCTACGGCTAAAGTTGTAGGTAAAATCAACGACTTCTTCTCCAAAGGCAACTGAGCCCGAACCATGCCTCTGGTGCGTTAGGGGCGGTTCGCACACATTTTCCAAGCATTGTCACAGGCGAGAAGACCAAAAAGTGATTGAACCATAATCATGAATTCATGACGTACTAACTACATTAGACCTCTGCCCGTTAAGGGGCTTGTGTCTACCTAGGGACCCTTCCCTGAAAGCGGTATCTGTTGAATGCCTTACTTTTCCCCGAGTCCCAAACCCGCTTGCAAAACGCCGTGGAGATATGTTGAAAAAAGAACGCCTATGTTGAATGTGCCTGAGCCCTTCCCCTTTGATTTTTTCCGGTTATCCCCGCGGGTATTGCCACTTCATGTCTGTTGAATAGACCATCGTTTCCCACCCAACACCTAAATCACACTTCATATACATCGCATCATCCGCTTAAGCCTTGTCGGCGTACTTGGTGCGGAAGTACTTGGCGGCGTTGACCATGTTGGTCAGCGCGGCCTTGGTCTCGGCCCACTGACGGGTCTTCAGACCGCAGTCGGGGTTGATCCAGAGCTGCTCAGGGCGGAGACCGTTGTTAAGCATCTCCTCGATGCGGGTCTTGATCTCCTCCTCGGAGGGAACACGAGGGGAGTGGATGTCGTAGACACCAGGGCCGATGTGGCGGGGGTAGGCCTTCTCCTCGAAGACACGGAGGAGCTTGGCGTCAGACTTGCTGTTCTCGATGGACAGGACATCGGCATCGAGGGCGGCGATGGCGTGGAAGAAGTCCTGGAACTCAGAGTAGCAGAAGTGAGAGTGGATCTGAGTGGAGTCCTCGACACCGGCGGTGGACAGCTTGAAGGAGTCGACAGCCCAGGCGAGGTAAGCCTCACGCTCCTTGCCGGAGCGGAGAGGGAGACCCTCACGGAGAGCAGGCTCGTCGACCTGGATGACGTAGATGCCGGCGGCCTCGAGGTCGACAACCTCGTCGCGGAGAGCCAGAGCAAGCTGCTGGGCCTGGACGGACTGGTGAACGTCGTCACGGGGGAAAGACCAGCGCAAGCAGGTGATGGGACCAGTAAGCATGCCCTTCATGACGCGCTTGGAGTGAGCAGCAGCGTACTTGGACTCCTTGACGGTCATGGGCTGGTTGTTGCGGCGAGAGATGTCACCGACAACGATGGGGGGGCGGACGCAGCGGGATCCGTAGGACTGGACCCAGGCGTGGGTGGTGAAGACGTAACCGTCCATGCGCTCACCGAAGTACTGAACCATGTCGTTACGCTCGGGCTCACCGTGGACGAGGACGTCCAGGTCAAGCTCGTTCTGGATGGCGATGACATCGTCCATCTCCTTCTCGATGAACTTCTCGTACTGCTCAGCGGTAATCTCACCCTTGGTGAACTTGTTGCGCTGGATACGGATCTCCTTGGTCTGGGGGAAGGAGCCGATGGTGGTGGTGGGGAAGAGAGGAAGGTTCAGGTGCTTCTTCTGGGCAGCAATACGAGTGGGGAACTCAGACTTGCGGTTGTGCATCTCAGGGGTGACCTCAGACTGGCGCTTCTTGACGTTGGGGTCGTTGGTGCGGGCAGAGGTGGCACGAGACTGGATGTCCTTGGCGTTGGCATCAAGCTGGGCCTGGACGGAGGCAGCGTTGGTGATGGCCTTGGCAATGGTGGCAACCTCAACGGCCTTCTCGGAGGCGAAGGAGAACCAGGCGTAGACCTCCTCAGGGAGCTTCTTCTCGGAGGTAAGAGTGTGGGGGGTGTGGAGGAGGGAAGAAGAGGTGGCGACGATGACACGGTCCTCGCCGAGCTTGGCAGTAGCCTGCTTGACGGTGTCAATGGCGCGGGAGAAGTTGGTCTTCCAGATGTTACGGCCGTCGACGACACCGGCGGACAGGATCTGCTTGGGGCCGAGCTTCTCAATGACGGGGCCGAGCTGCTCGGGGTTGCGGACAAGGTCGACGTGGAGGCCGTAGACGTTGCTGATGGAGGGGAGGACGTCAAAGTTGTGGACGATGTCACCGAAGTAGGTGGCCAGAACCAGCTTGGGGAGGCCGGCGGCGGTGAGAGCCTCGTAGGCGGGCTTGAAGGCAGCCTTGGACTTCTCGGGCAGGTCGAAGACGAGGATGGGCTCGTCAATCTGGACAGTCTCGGCACCAGCGGCCTTGAGTTGCTTCAGGAGCTCAACGTAGACGGGGAGGAGCTTGTCGAGCAGAGAGATGGGGTCAACGGACTGGCCACGGTCGGGCTTTCCAAGGTGGAGGAAAGAGACGGGGCCGACGAGGACAGGGCGGGTGATGATGCCGGCCTCCTTGGCCTCGTTGAACTCAACAACGGGCTTGGGGTTGGCAGCGAGCTTGAAGGTCTGGCCATCCTGAAGGGTAGGCTTGACGTAGTGGTAGTTGGAGTCGAACCACTTGACCATTTCCTGTTGACGGATCCATCAGTATTTGTTTAACGTTATGGGATTCGTTCATCGCCCGTGCATGAGCGGGGGCGGGGGCGGGGCTTACCAGAGAGGGGACGTCGATGCCGTCCTTCTGGTGGCCACGGCCCATGGCGAAGTACTCGTCAATGGGCTCAAGCTTGGTCTCGGCGTAACGGGGAGGAATGGCCTAGGGCATGTTGTCAGCTTGATGATGAGCTTAGTGATATTCCGGGGTGAGTCACTTACGTTGAAGAGCTGGATGTGGTCAAGGACCTGGTCGTAGAAGGCAAAGTCGTTGGAGGGGATGATGTCGACACCGGCATCCTTCTGGATCTTCCAGTGGGCGAGACGCAGTCTCTTACCCTCAGCGAGGAGCTCATCGCGAGAGAGCTTGCCGGCCCAGTAAGCCTCGTTGGCCTTCTTGAGGTCACGGTTCACACCCATGCGGGGGAAACCCAGAACCGAGGACTGAACCATCTTGAATGCTGTTGCTGATCGACGCAAAAGACTCAAGTGTGATAAAATGATGTGTTGTGAAATTACCCCGCCGACAAGAAGCAAGGTACGGGAGAAAAATTGGGAGTCAGGCGGTTGGGGGAAGAAGGAGAGGAAGAGAAAGAGGACGAAAGAGGAGGAGGGGCAGATGAAGTAGTCTTCCAAAGGTCGAGGTGGTGGACGTGTGAAAAAACTCTAGCGGCCCGCGAGTCGGTGAATTGGGCAATTGCGTGCGAGGGGCAGAGAGGCTGGGCTGGGTCCCGGGGCAGTTGACTGGAGAGCGAAGTCGGCTTGCAGCCTCAATGTCACTTTTTTGTGTTTTTCCCCTCCTTCTCACCGTTGGGTAGGTATGGATAGTCAATGGTACGAGCAATTGGTACTTTGGTGGAGGCCCCGGAGTTTTCGTTATTTTATTTTTTATTTTTATTGATCGCCTCTTTTGGATTCTGCCAGCCAGCCAAACCGCCGGGAGAAAAAAAAATGAGGTGAGAAGTCCTTCCAGTAGCGTTGAGGTGGGGTACTTTGGAAAGGGAAGGAGGGGTTGTCGCAGATTGCTCTTGAGAAAGTGGCCTCTGACACTTCGTGAGAATGCAGCGTGGCGGCTGGCGGGGGACTCAATTGGGGGAATTTTGCTTGAGGTCTCCACTGTTGGCGAGGCACCTTAAGATGGCGGGGTACAAAGCACTATCGCAAGCTGCGAGGGAGCTCCGGCGGGAGGCCGCAAGCCACCCATTGTTTTCTGTTAGTGCCCCTCTGTACCTGCTCAAGCTTGTCCCTACCTTACCTCACCTACAGCTAAGGCACCTAAGGTACCTCCAGGTGTAGCTTTTCTTGCTCCCTCCATTGGCTTTTCCCATCGTTTCCTGCCTTTCCCCGGTGTTCCATGCTCTGCGCTTCTGACCGTCTGTGCTCCAAACCGAGTATTGTAGCAAAAAAAGGCACAGAGAGTCAGACAACTGCATGAGAGGCCAAGGTCAGGCCAGCTAAGGTTCGTACCGGCGACAATGCAGCATAAGACACGCAGACACAATGGCCGCAGGCCTGAGGCGAGAAGCGAGAAGGGAGGGTACCTCGGGTATGGAGGGGCAGGCGATCGCTGATTG